ATCTGCGGGCCACATTATCTTATATATGTGCATGTAGGTGGGAATGCAAGGCCAATGATCTACTTAGTGGGCTTTTAGCTCATTCTTCTTATTTTTTCATCTGTGTAGAGTGTTAACCTCCAATTCTTGAGTGGGCAACTAGACAGTGGTGGCAGGCGGTTGAAGCTCAGGATCTGACAAGGAACTTTTGATTGTAGGTGTCTAGTGGCAGTGCCACAATGTTGTTTAAATATGATACTGTAATTTTGTTGTCGGGCCTATAGCGCCTTGAACAGAATTGTAAAAAAATTTTGGAGAATGCATATGTATAAAATGGTTTTATATTGTTCAGTTTTATGGGGCATGATGTATGAGTTCTTATTTTCTTTCGTGGTTTGCTTTGATTCCGCATTTCTAAACGCATTGAACCACTCCCACCTGAGTGACGTTCGCGACCTCTGGTCGTGATCCCAACTCTATCTCCCTCCGACAAGTACGGTAGTGGTCAGGGGGTCGTGACAGTTATGGTATCAGAGTAGCCAAGAGTCTTAGGAGTGTCTCTATAATAGTGTTGAGTAGGTTGGTAACTGGGTGCTCCTGTTTTAGGTCAAAGATGCCTAGGACTCATGCTAATGATGCGAGCTCTAGCAATGAGAATACGGAGGCTCTCTGTGAATTCTTCAAGACCTTAGGGGCCATGACCCAAATGATGAAGGACAATATGTCGGCCCCAGCAACCCCCACCCCAAATCAGACTGATAGTGGGCCAATTGAAAGATTTAGGAGGCTAGCACCTCCGACGTTCTTGGTGCATGGGGGAGTAGAGAAAGCGAAGAGAGGAGAACACAAGTGGAAAATATTTTTGATGTGTTACACTGTACTGATGAGCATGAGGTTAAGCTGGGAACCCTCACGTTAAAAGGAGATGTTGAGCACTGGTGGGGCTCAATCTTGGGAAAGGTCAGGGACAGAAGTAACTTAAGAGAACTTTTTGGAAGCGTTTAATGAGAAGTATTTCCTTGACTCAGCGCGGGAGAGGAAGGAAGTAGAGTTTATTGAGCTGCAACAAGGGAAACTATCAGTGGATCAATATGCGGCCAAATTTGTTGAGCTATCAAGGTATGCGCCACACATCATTAAAACGGAGGCGCGAAAGGTGAATAAGTTTGAGAGAGGCCTCAGGCCAGATATAAGGGGAAGGGTGATATCAGCAAACCTCAAAACCTTCTCCCCTTTAGTGGAACTTTCCATGAAAATTGAGGGGGATTGTGAAGACTCCCGGTTAAGAAAGGAAGGGAGAATCGGGCCAGCCCAATTTGGGAACCTTGGGGGGAAGACTCGACCACCTCCAAGGAAGAGTTTCAGGGGAAGGAATAATCAAGGAAATAGGAAGATTCAGAAGATCTTCTTGGGCGACATAAGGGATAATCGGTGTCCGGCCTGCCCTCATTATGGGTTGAGCAACCATACGGCGACTAAGTGCTACAGGAAGACGAAGTCATGTTTCAAATGTGGCAAGCCTGGCCACCTAGTCAAAGACTGCACGGTTAAGGGATCGGAGAACCTACCGAAGACTCAACGTCGGGAATTTTCTCTTATGGAACAAGAAGTCAAGGCATCTGCCTCTGTTATCCGTGGTATGCTCTTTTTTTGTGGCATGGAAGCTAGAATTCTGATTGACCCTGGGTCTTCTCACTATTTTTTTGCACATCACTTTGCATGCCACATAAATGTTAGACCTTCACTTCTTGACTGGGCATTGGTAGTATGTACACCTATGGGGGAATCTATAGAAACTGATATTGTTTATAAACATTGTGGAATTTTGCTTGAAGGATGTGTTCTACTTATAGACTTGATACTATTAGACATTCGAGATTTTGATGTTATTTTGGGCATGGATTGGTTGTTCGCACATCTTGCTACAGTAAATTGTCATGATAAACTGTAACCTTTAGATGCTCAAATCAGTCTGAGTTGAACTTTGTTGGCATTAAGGATGTTTCTCCTCTACACATTATCTCTGCCCTTCAAGCTTCTCGCCTTCTGGCCAAAAAGTGCGTTGGGTACTTGGCCTATGTAGTAGAGAATCAGGTCCAGTCCAAGTTAGAGGAGATACCAGTGGTAAGAGAATACCCATAAGTTTTTCTTGAGGAGTTGACCACTTTGCCTCCAGTCAGGGAGATAGAGTTTGAGATAAATGTGGTCCCAAGTACTACTCCTAACTCCAAAGCCCCTTATAGGATGGCGCCGGCCGAATTAAAGGAGCTGAAAGAACATCTGCAGGAAATATTGGAGAAGGGGTTCATTTGACCTAGTGTGTCACCATGGGGTACACCAGTCCTATTTATGAAAAAGAAAGATGGGTCTTTAAGGCTTTGTATAGACTATAGATAGCTAAATCAGGTCACTGTAAAGAACAAGTACCCCTTGCCTAGAATTGATAACCTTTTTTACCAACTTCAAGGGGCCCAAGTATTTTCTAAGATTGATCTTCGATCAGGCTATCATCAACTGCGGGTCAAGGAAGAGGATGTCCTTAAGATAACATTTAGGACCCGATATGGCCACTATGAGTTCTTGGTGATGCCATTTGGGTTGACCAATGCCCCGGCTGTCTTTATGGACCTGATGAATAGAGTTTTTAGAACCTTTCTGGATGATTTTGTGGTGGTCTCTATAGACGATATTCTGGTATATTCAAGGACCCTGGAAAAGCATGGGCAGCACTTAAGAATGGTTCTCTAGACTCTGAAGTCAGAAAATTTGTATGCTAAGTTGGGTAAGAGTGAGTTTTGGCTTCTTAGCGTGGCCTTCCTTGGGCACGTTTTGTTTAAGACCCTTGTAAAAATTGAAGCTGTACTTAAGTGGGTAAGACCAAAAAATGTGACAGAGGTCAGGGATCCACAATTTTCTAGGACTGGAAGTTTATTATAGACGCTTTGTAGAAGTGTTTTCAAAGATAGCCCTCCCCAGACTCGCCTAACCCAGAAGGAAGTAAAATTTGTGTGGTCTGATGAGAGTGAGAAAGTTTTCAAGAACTAAAAGAGATACTTAATATGGCCTCGATACTGACCTTACCCAAGGAAAATGAGGGCTTTGTTGTTTAGATTGATGCCTCTCACAAAGGGCTTGGGTGCTGGGATGCGTGCTGATGCAGCGAGGGAAGGTCATAGCTTATGCCTCCAGACAGTTAAAATCATACGAACAAAATTACCGAACTCATGACTTAGAACTCGCAGCTGTAGTATTTTCTTTGAAAATTTGAAGACATTACCTCTATGGGGCCCAATTTAAGGTATTTACAGATCATAAGAGCCTCAAGTATCTATTTTCTCATAAGGAGTTGAATATGAGGCAAAGAAGATGGATAGATCTACTGAATGAGTATGATTATACCATCAATTACCACCCAGGTAAGACTAATGTGGTAGCAGATGCTTTAAGCAGGAAGTCTGTGTTATCAGTGGCACATCTGTTGATTCGAGAGATGAAATTGTTGGAAGATGCATTAGAGTGGCACCCAGTTCTGCCCCTTAGTGAGGGGGTAGGAATGACTGCGTGTATAAGAGTGGAGCCTCAGCTTTTCCAACAGATCTGAATGGCACAAAAGGAAGATCCTCAACTTATGAAAATTCTTGAAGAAATAAAGCTGAGGAGGAAAGATAATTTCTCGATGAGCAGTGATGATCTATTAAGATTTAAATATCGAGTATGTGTTTCGAATGATGAGAGTGTGAAGCAAGCTATTTTAGAAGAGACACACCACTCCCATTATATTGTACACCTAGAAGCACAAAAATGTATCAGGACCTGAAGAAGACTTTCTAGTGGAATAACATGAAAAAGGAAGTGGCATATGCTAGCAAGTGAAAGTTGAGCATCAGAAACCTGTCGGCCTATTGCAACCCTTGCCTATACCAAAGTGGAAATGGGAACACATTACCATGGACTTCGTCTCTAGCTTACCTAGAGCAGGTGCTGGGCATGATAGTATTTAGGTCATCATGGACCAGTTGACTAAAGTTGTTCATTTCTTACTGGTTCGCACAACTTATACCTTGGATAAATTTGCCCAATTATACATTAGAGAGATAGTGAGGTTGCATAGAATACCAGTTAGCATCGTGTTCGACAGGACACTAGATTTACCTCAAGATTTTGGATTAGCCTGCAATTAGCTTTGGGGACAAGAGTCACTTTTAGCACTGCTTTTCACCTCCAGACTGATGGGCAATTAGAAAGGACCATTCAGACCCTGGAAGACATGCTAAGGGCTTGTGTTACTGATTTTAAAGGAATCTGAGATGACCATCTTCCTCTAATAGAATTTTCTTATAACAACAGCTTCCGAGCCAGTATCCAGATGGCACCTTTTGAGGCCTTGTATGGGAGGAAGTGCATATCACCTATCTGTTGGGATGAGGTCAGTAAAAGGAGGCTTTTAGAAATTGTTCAAGTAACCTCAGAAAAGATTGCCTTGATTTGAGAGAGACTTAAGACTGCTCAGAGTCGGCAAAAGAGTTACACCGACAATAGAAGGAGAGACCTCGAGTTTGAGGTGGGTGATCGGGTGCACGCAGCAATAAGAGAAACAAGATGAGAGAGTGCGCACGTCGGTAAGAGAAGGAAGAAGAGAGAGTGTGCACGATAGTGACAGAAAAGAGTGTCGTTGTGCGTGATTCTGTCGAGCCTGTGCATGGCCCATGGTTGCCACCTACCTGATGCATGCTGCCACCCTGCCACATGTCAATTTGCATGACATTAAGACTGTCACTTGGCAAACCCAGGATGCCACCTACCCACATGAGAGTACAAAAACCCCTTCTCTCCTCTTTTGCCTCACATTTGGATTCACTCTTCCCCCTTGAGAGTTAAACTCCAACCCCCTTTCTCTAACCTTGTGGGAGAACATTGGAGTGAAGATGAAGTGACTATGTGAGGGGTTGTGCGAGCACCATTTCACACACAAGGTAAGTGGGTCACTACCTTGTAGGTCCTTCATCATGAAAACATGAATTGAGCATGAATTATGCAGGAATCAAGTAAGAAGTTGAGTATGAGCATCTGCATAAACAATGGCTGCATGTGTACCCCGTTATGCCATGTTTTCCAGAAATTTAGCCTACCATTGCATGTCAAATGAGCATTGAAATCCTTCTTGATTGCCATGAGAATTTGTGGAAGGATGTTCTTATACATATAATGTATAAGGTAAAAAGGTTTTATAATGTACTCTAGCATGATTTGGGGGATTATTATTTGATCTTTGGGTCATGTTATGACCACACTTGGAAATTCCATAGAGGTTTCATGTATTTGCAACATACTTTTGACTAAGCAAATGACACTCAAATGACTCCAAATCACCCCCATTTGAAAGATACATGTGTCTACTATGATATTTGTGTTTAAACTCAGTTCAAATTATTTATAAATGGGGAGATATGCTTCAATTTGTAAAAGCATGTCACTGTTAGCAGATTTCACTAAAATTCAGAACTGTTACCGTTGTTGTCATGAGCTTTTGACTAACCAAATGGAGTCCAAACACTTTCAAACTACTGTCATTTGAAATATATATGTATTTACTCAAACTTTCATGTTAAGATCATCCTGAAATATCCTTTAGCTTAAAGCTATGCCTCTGTAAAGAGGAACATGTTGCAGTGAGTTAAATGCAGCAGATTTCAGAAGTTCATTTTTGTTGCCATAAGCTTTTGACTGACCAAATGGATTCCAAACGCTTTCAAACCGCATTTCTGGAAAGATATGTGTTTCTACTCGAATTTTGGTTCGAAACCATCCTAAAATTTCCCATAATTTGGGGGTTATTCTCCAGTAGTTGTAGCATGCCGCTGTCATAAGTTGCTGCAATTTCCAGGAACTGTTGCTTTTGTTGTGTTGAGCTTTTAACTGGTCAAATGAGATCCAATTACTTTCAAGCCACTTTCATTTGAAAGATATATGTGTCTACGTTGAAATTTATTTTAAAACTATGTCAAAATTTTGTATAGATCGGAAGCTATGCCTCTGTTTATGGGACATGCCACCGTTATGAATGACAGAAATTTCAGAATTGTGATCTATTTTGTACTGAACTCTTGACCGATCAAATGATGCACAAATAGCTTTGAATTTTCTGTGATTGAAAGATATACATCTCTATTTTACGTGATGACTCAAATTGTGTTGAAGTTCCTCATGAATTGGATGTTATGCTTCGTTTCGTACACGCATATTACTGATGGAAATGGCAGAAATTCCCAAACTGGTATATGAATCATGCAAATGTTATACACTGATGTTTTTTAATATAGCGTAATCCCTTCATAAGGAGATTGAAATTATCTGTCATGAAATACTAAAAAATGCATGCTTATGATACTATGAACGTTCTTAAACTCTTGAAATGGCAAAACATGAGCAAATAAATGCTTGAGCATGCACGTACGCAGTGCAACTAAATGTGATATACTATGATACTGACCACTACGCAATGGGTCACCCATTGGTAGTGGGATACTGTTATACTGCAGCTGTGATATACTGTGATATTGACCACTGCGCAATTAGTCACCCATTGGTAGTAGGATACTGTTATATTGTGACTATGATATACTGTGATACTGACAACACAATGGTTCCCATTAGTAGTGGGATACTGTTATACTGTGACTGTGATATATTGTGATACTGACCACTACGCGATGGGTCACCCATTGGTAGTAGGATACTGTGATGCCAGCAATCATTGATTGTTTCCCAACTCCAATGATAGGAATGTGGACGGCAAGTGAAACTGAATAATTTGGAGGGTCGCACCCTCTGAATTAAAATGGGCACTAGGCGTTGGGTCACCCAATAGTAGTGTTATGCCCTCTTGCCTGAAGGCATAAGGAGAAGGTCGTGTCTTGCAAGGCCACTGTCTATCAAAACCCCAAGCGCACTCGGGATTGTGTGCATGAACGAGGACTTTATGAAATGGGACACTCATTTATCATTGTCCTCCCTCCTGAATGAGGGTAGAAGTTCCAAGTTACAGGATTGGCTTGGCCTGATCGATGTGACTTCTTCTTCAGGAGTAGACCACTCTAGACTTTACTTGTGTGCTTTGTGTGTTCTTTCTGGGTATTGACCTGTTACTGTGATAAGAGATGAAATAACTGTTAGCTCATACAAAATATACTGCCCTAATATCTGAATCATACTCCATTTTACACTTCTAATGAATTGTGATGCATGACTTTACTCTGTGACTCATATGAATTGTGATTATCTGCAGGTATATGTGCATGTAGATGGGAATGCAAGGGCACTGATCTACTTACTGGGCTTTTAGCTCATTCTTCTTAATTTTCCATCTGTTTAGAGTGATACCCTCCAATTCTTGACTGGGTAGCTAGACATGGAGGCAAGCGGTTGAAGCTCAAGATCTGACGAGGAACTTTTGATAGTAGGTGTCTGGTGGCAGTGCCACGGTGTTGTTTGAATGTGATACTGTAATTCTGTTGTTGGGCCTTTAGCCCCTTGAATAGAATTGTAAAGAATTTTTGGAGAATGCATATGGATAAAATGGTTTTATTTTGTGCATTTTTATGGGGCATGATGTATGAGTTCTTATTTTCTTTCGTGGTTTACTTTGATTCCGCATTTCTAAACACATTGAGCCACTCCCACCTGAGTGACATTCGCGACCTCTGGTTACGATCCCACACTCTATCGCCCTCCGAAAAATACGATAGGGGTCAGGGGGCATGTGACATCGTCCATCCCCCGTCTCTCCCTAAGCCAAGATAGAAGCTTGAACTAACTCCTGTTTCTGGACCACATCCCTTGCCCCACCTCATGAAGATAGCTCTGTCATGTTTGAAGAAAGCAGACCATTCACAATCATGGTCCCGGTCTTGGTTCTAGAGGGAAGTATATCAAAGCCTAAGAGCCAAGCATGACCAAGGCATGTGGATCATGCTAAGGAAAGAACCCAAGATGCTTGGGGTAAGTAAGCATTCTAACCCCTTAGCAGAGAACCCCTTCTACCCACTCCAGGCAACAGGGGAGCCTGAGGCCGAAAAGACAGAATCCTGCATGGTTGTCAGTGTCGTAGGAGACGACCCAACCTCGCAGCCTCTGCGGTCCCAAGACCATCACGAACCGGTCTTAACACGATCAGCATACAATGCTGGAACTCAGTCGGGGCATGTCAAACACCTGCTGACCGACCTGCCGCACCCAATCCAGTGGGCCTGCAAAATCCTAACCACACAAGAGACTAACCCACCTGAAGAGACAGTCAGCGTAATGGCCATTGAAGACCCCGACAATGATCAAGAAGGCCGTATGAACCGGCTCGAGGATATGATGCATAAGATGATGGAGAAGATCGAGCTGATAGAAGGTGTCCGGCTCCCTGGGAACTCATCTCATCAAGAGGCCAATTCCCCTCTTCCAACCGATCCGGTTCTGAGGCAGCCTCCTCCTTCCGGTTCACGTGACCATTCCTCCCCTCATCATGTCTCACATGCTGTCATCGATGCCATGGTCACCTGCAGCTTGCGGGGTAGGCAAATCTCAAGCATGCAGGGTACGGTCCTATACCGGAAGCCACATCCCTCCTACATTGACCAGCTCCCGTTTCCTCCAAATTACCATAAGGGGAGACTCCTGTTCTTCAACAGCACGAGTTCCCCTCACCAGCATATTTCCCATTTCTATCCAGCATGTCAAGAAATGGTAGTGAATGGGAGGCTTCTTCTCTGCCAGTTTGTTGAAACTCTTGACAGGACGGCATTCAAGTGGTATGCTCGAATCCCCCCAAACTCAATGCAGGCCTAGAAAGAAATGGAGCAGTTGTTCTATAAGCGCTTCTAAGAATTAGAAACAAGAAGTTTAGGCTATTGAGCTTCTCACATTGACCTGGGGCCCAGATGAGTCAGTCGATCAATTCATTGCAAGATGGAGACATCTGGCTGCGCACCAAGCTACCCCCGTGCCTGAGATTGATGTGGTCCAAACATGTGCGTGCAACACGCGACCGGAGATCTCTCTGGATGTTGAGGCTTCAAACCCAACTTCTATATCGGATTTGATTTCTAAAGCAATCCGCATAGAAAGTCTTTTCAAGCATCATGGTGGGCCCCAGATGCAGTCATCAAATGGGGGAAACAGCTGAAGCTCTGGTAATGCTCGCCCCAATTCTTGGGGCAATCAACAAAGAGGAATGACCAATGTCGTTGTCACTATATCTGACCCCAAAAAGGCCTACCCTCAAACTCTGGATTTCTCCAAAGTGGTGAACCCCGCAAATGCTCAAGGGACACCCCATGTAGGTCAACAACAGCCTCATTCCTAAAACAAGGTGCCTCCTCCTCCAAACAGTTACGGAAGGGATTATTGGGCAAAGAAAGAAAAAAAGTTTATAGCTTCAATAAGGAGTGGGTCCCGACCCTACTTCGGATGTTGCTAGAACAACAAATGATTGCTCTGCCTGAGATAAAGAAGCCAGAAGAAGCTGGTCTTGCCAACCACAATAATTACTGCCCCTATCTCAGAATGTTAGGGGACCCTATTCAGGACTGCTTTACACTTAGGGACCACATCGAGTCTGTTTGAAGGTATTTTTCAACACTTGTACCCCCAATGCGAATAAGGAGAGAGCAGTTCGCGACCTGGCCTGTCGACACCAAACCCGATGGCACAATCATCTCCTACCCAATCCGTACGACCTCTCCAAACCACATCGACTGCACAGCAAAGTCAGTCGATGCCAAAAAACAATCTTCCACCACCTAAGCCTACCTCACAAACTTTCATACCATTAGAACCTGTGGTGGGTCCAGAAGTACATAGAAATGGTGATCACAAGGACAAATATTATGTGGTGACTGTCTCTTTGATCACTGAATCACAGAGCCTTCCCCTGACACTCTCTGAGTCCTACTTCTCCCAATTGACCCAAGTGCCTCAAAATTTTCTCCCTAGACCTTATACACTTCCCCTCCTTGAAGCTGACCCTTCCTCAGGTAAGCAAGAAGTTGACGCGGTTAGGATGTTTCACACCAAAACCGCATTTAAGGAGAAGATGTCAAGAACATGGGTACCGACACTCGAAATTAATGAAGGATCCCTTTGGTCACCGTCTAATGACGAGATAAAACTCCAGGAGGCCGCCGATGAATGGGAAGAAGGTTGACAAGCTCGGTTGATGATCTCAAGGAGATAAACTTGGGAGATGAGACTGACTTAAGGCCAACCTTCATTTTAGCCAACATGTCACCAGAGGAAAAACAAAGCTATACTACTTTCCTACGTACAAATAAAGACGTCTTCACCTGGCATTATCATGAGATTCCCGATCTCGATCCCCAAGTAGCGGTACATCGACTTAGTATTGACCGATCCTTCAAGAACATCTTACTTTCAATTTAGTGCATGATTCTCTCTCTTTCAGGCATGCATAATCACCATTATATCGCTTTGAACCATACTCAAAGATGTTGTTGTTTCTCTTAACATCGCATTCATTCAATGACAAAGCATCATGATCTGATTCCCTCTCTTCTTTCCAGTACTACATGCTCTTTTCAATCTCTTCAATCTCTTCATTCTCTTGTTCTATGTTCTCACTTCCAAATTATTTGTAAGTTTTACTGTGTCTCTCTTCACGTCACATGCAGAGTCACCAGCCCCCCTCTTTGGATCATTATCAGAGTCACCATTCTCTCCATTTAAACCGTATGTGGAGTGGGTTCTCTCTTTCTTTGGATCGTATGCATTTGGGAATTGAGTGCATAGATTGATCTCTTCAAGCACCAGATCCTCAACCTCTTTCTTCGAATCATACAAATACTCACCATTCTCATTCTTCGAAGAATGCACATGACTAATGTCCTTTATCTTGTATCATATGCTTTTGAAACATTGCCATTGAAATTTCTCTCTACTTTCATGCACCTAACACTCAATTCGTTCTCTTTGATCTCAGGATCTTCTACCATGGATTCAGGGTCTAATCTAGATTCATTAGAGGTCTTCGTAGACTTGGCTGTATTCTTCATAGACTTGGCTGTATTCAAACCAGAATCATCAATTTTAATAGAGTTTTTAAGCATTTGGTCGTGATGAAAGTTTGCAGACTCTGATCTCAGATGATCATAGCATTCGACAAGAAAACAATAAGACTTCTATAATTCTTCAACCATCTCAATACGTTGGGGCCTCTTCTCGAAGTACATCTCGGCTCTTTGTGCGAAAGAATCACCATCTTCTCCTATTATCTTCATCATTTCCTTCATTTGTGAGTCCACTTCTGCAACAATCATGATGTCACCAGTGTAACACACACACATGCACAAATGGGGAGACAAAGAGAGAGTTAACCGAAAGCTGCCTTCATCGAGACTCCAGCTGCCTTCATCAAGTCTATGCCAAAAAGGAATGACTGAGTTTCTACCAAAATGAGTTGGAATTTTTGATATCCCAACTTCAGAGCTGACGATTTATTCAACCACCAAATTGTAATTATTTTGGGAAAAAAGAAGAAATTATTTTTAAGTCCTCCCTAGTTTTTGAATATTTTTTGAAGAATTTAGGACTCGAAACACATCCTGAATTAGTATAAATCTATTTCCACCTCAAATCCATGAATTCGGTAGAACTCACCCTAGTTGAAAATTGAAATTGATACTAAAGTTGAAAGTTGTAGTGACATCGATAGAAATGAGTCACAATGCATGGTTATTTGTTAGTCAAACTAAGCACTTTCCATGTCTCCAACTAAACAATCATATATTCCATCCAATAATGTACCAATACAAACATACAAGTTCATTGGAACCTGCATCATCTTTGATTTCCAGTATGCATTTCAATGGAACGATTTGTAATTTCTTTCACAATCACATATTAATATCAATACTATGTACCTATACCAGTATCAATGCCTGTACTAATATCCGGACTCACTAGGATCCCAGGCTCGAGTAAAAAAACTTGGCTTGGCTAGAGCCTTAAAAATTAAGCAAAAAATAAAAGAACTCTGACAAGTTTAAAATCACTTCTAAAAACTATGTCATCTTCGAAAATGAAAACTTCTGCTCCTTTCCAATAGAAGGGGGGGCATCCATCATGATTGTCAGCATAGTTAATCGGAGAAGGAAAAATAATATAGATGTAAAGCAATAAAAGAAATGGACAGAAGAAAAAATCAAGCGAGTAGAACCAGTAGCACAATCGGAGCAATAAAGAGAGAGCGAGAGAGAGAGACCTGAGAGAGTGGAACGAAGCCAATCAGATTGTTTCAAGCCATCGGGTCGGTTCCATTGATTTAAATAATAAAGTTGCTTCTGGTGTGTAAAAGTCATTTCCTCTGGTTTTCACTTTTCCTTGTAGTCTTGGTGATTCTCTCTAAAATGATGCAAATGTTCTCCGCAATTACATAGTTTTATTCATCATTTTTACCATTGCTCACACACTTTCCGAACTTGGAAGGAATTTATCTGACACACTAGAAAAAGTAAAGTTGTCCAAACAACCACAAATTTGGTTCTCTCTCCATTAATGAGGTCTCTTTCTACCTTAACCTCTCTCTACATGCAATTTTTGTTGATAACCTCTATTTGAAATTTGAATAAATTTATCTCAATCGTTTTTTTACTTTGTTAAGATTTTCTTTTAGTGCTTATCCATGAAACCTTTTTGCGACTGTGTCCTTTAAATCTTTAAATTTTGACCTCATTCAATATTTTTTTAAAGTTCAAAATTTAAACTTATTAACCACCAAATTTAATCCTAAATTTCAGCTGGATAAAGATTTTGCCTTGGTTCCGGATAAGCACTTCAAGGAGCATATTGTTTCTTCTTCCCTATAAAAACTCCAAACAAATTAAAAAAATGCCTCTCTAAAAAACTAGCTCTCTTTCTCTCCTTTCTCTATCTTCACATGCTTCTCTCTCTGCAAATCTCTCGAACCCCTCTCTCTCTCTTCTCTGAGAAATTTCCAGCGAGATAATTGCCTTGCAACTCCATTAGAGTGAGCTCGTTCAAGTATAAGAAGTCATCTAGCCCACTACCATCTAAGTAATTTTGACCTATTCTCACTCTTGAAAGGCTCAAGCAAGAGGGCCTTCTAGACCACAACTAGAAAGATCTAAGTGATTGAGATTGAGCAAATTGCCAAATTCATAAGGAATTTCACCTTGAAAATCATTGTAATAATCCATGTAAAGCTCTCTCAAATTGCTGAGATTGCCTAACTCACCTAGTACTTTACTATAGCTTGGAGAGAGAGAAACTCAAGCTCTGAGAAATTCCCATAGCTTGGAGGTATGGCCTTATACAAATAGTGGCCACCAAGGTCAAGATACTTCAAATTCTTGAGCCATGAAGGACCCAAAGGGAGGTTACCTTTTTCTCTATTTTCCCCTGTATTTTTGTAGTGACGTGTGGGCAACACTTTCTCTCTCTCTGTATGACCTCTTTAATTTTCTCTCTCTACATGCATCCCTAATTCTCTGAAATTCATCGTACCCATCATCAGAAACCCCAATTTGACGAAACCCATTATCAAAAACCTTATTTTTGAGAGACCCGTCTTACCCACCATTTCCATCACCTCCATCACCCCTACTTTGGTGAGCTCTATCAAACCCATGTTTCCAAAAAGTAAGTTCTTGCTTAAGATTGGAGTGAATTGTGTTCCTTTGTTCTTCATTACCTTTAGGTCACACAAAATCAGCATTTGCTTGAGAAAGATACCTCAAAGAACGAATTTCATATTCGCACATAGCATCCAAAACTTTGAGATTTCCCTTCATCCAAAACTTTGAAATTTCCCTTGGTTTTTTTGTAAAGAGCAGCATCAAGAACACCAAGGTCTCTACCTGTGTAACTCTCATGCCTGAAAAGTGAGGTTTTTTGTTTGGGGATTTGCGAGTGGGTGCTGCAGGAAGAGACAAGGGATGTAACTCTCATGCCTGAAAAGTGAGGTTTTGTTTGGGGATTTGTGAGTGGGTGCTGCAGGAAGAGACGAGGGATGAGGGTAGAGAGAGAGATGGGTAGAGAAAGAAAGAGAGATAGAGAGGATGATAGAGAGAGAAAGAGAGAGTTGGGGTAGAGCAAGAAAGTGAGGGGACAGGTAGAAAGAGAATAAAAAAACATTTATGTCATAAATTCCAGTTGTGCATGCGTATATAGAGATGAAGAGATCTAATTTTATGGACTTATTTTTATTGGGGCTAAATACAAAAAAATAGTGGCAAGTTTAGGGAGTGAGAAAAAAATGCATTAAAAGGTAGGATTAGTCGAATGCTACACTGCTGCCCGACAAACGGCGTTGGCCATCGTTGTCGACGACATGGGAAGGCTGCAACGACCCTTCACCGGCGGCGATAGGTATCGCCATCTGCGATAGCCACAGAGCATAAAGAGAGGCCCGCGGGTGGCGATAAGCATCGCCGTTTGCGATAGGCACAAGGCACCGAAGACATGTCCACGGACGCCAATAACTATCGTTATGTGCTCACGTAAGACACTAAAGACACGCCTGCAGACGGCGGTGAGCCTCGCCATCTGCGATAGACGTGAAGCCCGGTTGAGACCCCCGCGGACAGCAATATGCACCGACGTCTATGATAGGCACAGGGCGCCGAAGACATGTCCACGAAAGGCAATAACTATCACCGTCTGTGCTTGCGCAGGAGGTCGAAGACACGTCAGTGGATGGCAGTGTGCAGCACCATCTACGACCCGTGAGACGAAAGAAATATAATTCACGGTTGGCAATGCATCGTCGCGCGTGACACCAATCCAGACGGCACTACGCACAACTGACGCCGTACATGAACTATGTTGAGGGAAAGAGACAAACGAAGAGAGAAGGAAAGAGAAGTTCACGCATGGTGCTGCCATCACCATGCACGACCTGCAAAGTCACAGGAGGAGGAAGAGAGAATAGGGAGAGAAAAGAAAGAGGCAGAAGAAAGAAAGAGGCATACACTGCCACTATCGTGCATGGCCTCTGAGAAAGACTCAGCATAGAAGAAGAAGACAGACGAAGAAGAAGAAAGAGAATAAGAGAGAAAAAGAAAACTGAAGAGAGAGAAGAAGGGAAGAGAGAGAAAATACCTTGAAGATAGGAGGGGTACCGCTCAAACTTTCTTTCTCCTCTCTCTCTCCAAGACGTGCTCAAGAGAACTCAAGAAGAAAGCCTTAATTTTTATTGATAAAAAGTTGAATCCTGGAACAACGATTTTTCAGCCTTTTTCTCAATGAGAGGTAGCATCTATTTATAGACTAGGGCTAAAATATGGGTGGATTACCCAAAAATAACCCTAATTGATAATAATTATGGTTTCTTTACAGAAAAAAAAAGGAAGAAAATAGGGTGCAAAATGATTGATTTGCCCCCTGCCTAACAATTGGAGAAATTTCAAAACAACCCCTACTGAGAACTTGGGACATTCTTGATTCTTCTCGAACGATCCATTGACGATCCGACATCTAAATGAACAAAAGATAATTGCCATTGTGCATGGCTTGATGCTACGATCATTTTGATAATAATTTTATGCCACAAATCATACTTTAAAGGCATGTTCACGTAACTTGAAATTTGAATAGATCTTGAAAACTTTTGATTGATAGTGTGTCTTCATCTTGATGTTTTTCTTCGTTGAATTGCACTGAGCATGTTACCACAATCGCATTGCGATGAACAGGACTCGATTTGGAGCCCGAATGAAGACTTGACAATCTTGAAATTTTGGCCAGAATTTTGGATTCCAGCTGCCAGAATCTATAGTGACTTCAACTGAATCTTGTGTGAAATCCAACAGTTCATCACGCACGGGGGCTTGGACTAATGATAGCCACGGACCTTACGCACGCAATGCAACTGGTATCACATTGATGGGGCTCACGGGCACTGTGATATGGCCGCTCAAGTAACTGGAGGTCCTGCTGATTTTCTGCAATATGTTTCTTCGAATCACAAACTTCTCTCTAGCTTTTCTCCTTGCTTCGAAATCGTCACAGGGCGTGTCATATATCAAAACGCTCGTTTCGACGAGACGAACACGCTTCAATAAGATTGAGCACGATCTGATCTCGGACGAGGGAGATATGGACATCGCAAGTTCATTGTTCGTGATTGTGCTTTAATGGGGTTTAGTTGTAGGGTGGCCACACATCAATAGTGCGCGGCTCCTCAAGTCTTAATGTTTTGCCCATAACTTCTTCCTAGAGTGTCTGTTTAAGTTGAAATTTGACCCTTGGGGGTTTTCAACCTTGTCAAATACAATGGCGGTGGTTTCATGACCATTTG